ATTCACCTCGTTATATTTATCTGAAATTATAAGAATCGAAGAGAACCAATCGAGCGAACCAAACGCTGCTCACCGGAACGATTCCACCCACCCATCCACCCACTCTCACCTTTGTTCCGACGTGAACCAACGTCAGTAGCACTGACACAAAAAAAGAACGTACTGGTAAATAACGGATAAACTCGTCCGCGCTCTGATAAAACTGTACTGGCACCATTCGCTATCGCTTATAAATTACGCATGAGTTATTAATGCGATAATTCGCAGTTGGCTTCAATAAGTCAAATATGAAAAAAATTTTTTTTTTATCACCGTCCTGAAAATTGTACTGAACGAGAGAGAATCGAACAACTCAAAAAAATTCCAAATAGTTTCAACTAAAAATCGATTCGATATGAATTAAACTCGTTAAGACCCGTAATTCGATTCAAACCCGATTCGACCCAAATCGGTTCAATTCAAATCGCCAATTCGACCCGATTTTGAGTTGATTCTTAAATCGAAACAAATGAATCGATTTCGAGTCGTTTCGTTTCACATGAATAATAAATGAATAAGATAGCCGGCCGACTGGCCGGCCATTCATATAAAATTTTAGTTTCGCTTGCGTTTTGCTACTTCTGTTGAACGAAAACATTTTCGCACATCATCGATCGTTTCATTTCATTGCACATTACAACTATGCTAAGCAACACGACAAATATCATTCACATCTATCACATAAATAGGACATGCTTACACACATATAGCGCACACATACACACACACACGCATACTACACAAACATGCACATACACAAACCATGCACTACGCCACATGCTATAGGCAATCAAACATACTTTTAAAGGAAGCAAGACAAATAGACGCTACACAATATATCAACGTAAAAATTTTTTTTCACCTTTTTTTTATTTGATTTTATTTTTAAATATGAATTTTAATGATTTTTTGAATTTTTATTTTTTTAAATTTTTTTAAAAACTAATTTTAATCAATGAGATTGACAAGATTATTGGTGCATTTCGCTTTCTTTCTTTTCTCCTTTTCTCTTTTCAATATGACTTGTTTATTTATTTGTTATTATTATTATTAATAATTATTATTAATAATATTATTAATAATAATATTAATAATTGTTATTTTTTTTTGTAATAATCGTATTTGACGACTAAAGATTTTTAAATATTTGAATATTTTCGTTTTATTATTATTTTCCCACAACTTTTTAATTTATCTCATTCAGGGGTCAAAGGTTAAAAGGATATTTTTTAATTAAAAAAGGGGCTTTTTTTTGTTTTATAATGCAATATGTTTTAGCTGTTAAGGTTTAATATAATAAGATTTAATATTTCGTTTATTCCTCTTAAAAAGCAGTTTTAAAAGAGGTCAATAAAAGGTTGAAAGGTCGAAATATCATTGATAGTCATTGCTTATGATAAGTTTCTCTGATAAGTACTGAATTTTAAAGTAAATTAAGCGAATGATTTGGAGTGGAAAGGGAATGAGTTTTACAGTCATTTTTTTTCACCTTATTACTTAAAAAATAAAATATTCCATTAATATGGCTTTGCTTTGGCATAACGTCGGTCGGCTTCACTTTGGCCTCATTTAGGGTTCGCATTGGCCCCACTTTTGGTTTCAGTTTTGGCCCTAGGAAAGTTTTTTGTGTGAAAAAAATAGTGAGAAAAATGAAAAAAATAATTGAGAGAAAGAATTTTGAAGAAACGAAAAATAATGAAAAAAAAAATTTGTTTAAAAATAAATTTTTGCACAAAAATTTGTTTCGATTCATGTTTTTTCTTACTTTTTAAATTTTTTTTATTAAATTGAAATTGAATTTCATTCCAAAAATTTAATTTCACTGAAAAACAAAAATACTAATTTTAGATAATAATTATTATTATTATAATTTATGACTATAATTATAATATTTATAATAATAATAATAATAACAGTAATAATAATAATGGCAATGATAATGATAATAATGATATTAACAAAAAAAAAATTAATTTTCAATTTTTGCATGAAAATAAAGGTAAATTTTAGCAAAAAAAATTAAAAAACTACGCAAATATTTGTAAAAATAATTTTTTTTTTTTGCTATTTATTTTTCAAAAATTGTAAAAATGTTATTGTTGTTTAATGAGTAATTTTTATTGATGAAAATATCGATTGTTGTTGTTATTTTTAGTGTTTTTTAATTATTTTTTTAATTATTAATTTTATTGTCAATTTTATTGCTATTATTAATTGTTATCGTCGCTATTATTATTATTTTATTACTATATTATTATTATAAGTGTTATTTTTATTATTTTATTATTTTTTGCCATCCACACGATTCATTAATATTCCGCTTAAATATTTCAAAATTTAAATTAAAATAGAATATTCATATTTCCGAAATTTCCGGTTTTTAAAAGTCAATTTAAGCTGATCATTTAAAAATTGGATTTTTCGTTTTGACCTCAATTATATCAGTTTTTGACCTTTTCAATATGAATTTCGGAGTGTGCTGCTCTCATTTCGAAATAGCAGACTTCGGGCAGGAATGAACCTGTCTTTCGAAAATCCAGCTGCTGGTGACTCAACTATATTTCTCTTGTCAAGTGACTCATTGATAAGAAATTTTTCTGGTCCGATAAGCCAGCGGAGCGAACATAACCAGAAATAGTGAGCGACCTTAGAATGAAAATATCGCTTTCGATTTTTTTATATTGTCTTATATTTCTAATTATATAAGTTTTCTGCACAGTTATATCAGTTTTGACCTTAATTTTGCTCGCAATTATTCATTTTTAGCTATGCGTTTTTTTTTTACTTTTGCATTTAGCCACCTAAAAAATAAAAATATAAATACGGCGAATCGAGGTCATTTGCTTAGTGTTCGTTCGACTCACCAAGGAATGTGGCTGTCGGCTTTGGGAGATTTATTTGAAGATAGGGAATAATTTTGTGCGCCGTCGAAGCTAATCGTGTAGTTTCAGTTGTTATATATGAATAACACGGAGTTTTTATTTGCATTTATTTGCTTATTTTCTCTTTTTATTCGATATTTCCATGGAAGCGTTCAGAGGAATTGATTCCTCGGTTCCTATTCTTCTTGCCATTTAGCAGAAGTCAAGACGATCAAATCGGTGACGAAACGGTGAATCTATTAATTCAGCGACAAGTTTAGTGGTTCATAAGCAGTTCATTGAGCCATTCGGTTCGTTTAGCTAATTAATTAGTGTTAATCGAGCGGAGATCATCGGGTCAGCAATTTTAATCGAATAAAATTTTTATTATAAAAGTTTTTTAGAAGTAAAATGAATTTTATCCTCTTTTATTTTTTTTCGTAAACAAGTTCACTTTGTTCTTATTATTATTATTATTGCTAATTAAATCAGATATGAGGGGTCAATGAGGTCAAACGATAGACGGAGGGTCAAAAGGTCACCAGCACTACCAGGGTTAGAGGTCGCTGCTGCTTTCTTTCGATAATTATTGTTTGCTTGGTTTTCATAAACAAGTTGATGTGTGTTAATGGTTAGATATTTCGAGATATTCGTGTTATTATCATTATTACTATTATTGATTTGCAAAAGTCATATTAACTTAGTCCTGTCGATTAGTAGAAGAAGAAAAGGCGAAAAGAAGCGATTATACTATTTTTTTAGTTCTATGAATGGTACTAAAAATTGCATATTTAGGATAAAAATTTGTTTAAAAAATATGAATAAAATATGAGACAAATTTTTTCAGGGGGAAAATGAAGGGAATTTTATTAAAATTTTTTATTTAAAAATTATAACATCGATCTAATCGAATCAGTTATTTTTTTCTATAATATTTCGCTTTTTTTATTTTTTATAGGAAATATAATTATTTTTCTTATTCGACTGTTATTCGATTTTTTCTTTTTTTAGATAAAATTCACTTGAACTTATTGATTCGTAGATTTTTCTTTGGTGAATTTTGATTTCAGTTGTTGTTGAGTAGTTTATTTTGTCGTTTTTAGTGAAAATTTGCCTGAGAAATTAATGGTAAAATCAATGGCAAAATCGATAGCATTTTCATTAATTAATTAATTTAATATTATTATTTTTATTATTATTATTAATCCGTTATGAATGAAATTGTATATTTTTATTTATATAATAGTTTATCATTGCTTTGCGAACGGAGTGCTTCGATTCGATAGGAAAAAAAAAAAAAAAATTAAACGAATGATGGATTTGGTTGATTTTTATATGAAATAAAACGAATGGAGATAGGAAATGCCAATCGAGTTGATAGTTGAGAATTTAGTGGAATAGGTAGAATTTGCTTGCCGATTTTCCTTCAGCAGCGAATCACTTGCAGATAGAAATATGGAGACATCCTCCAACAATCCTTCAATAATACATATATTCTTTTCAAGTGACAAAGTGACAAATACTTGATGCCTCCTGCGATAGCAAACGAAACAAGCGAAGATGCAAGTCGTGAACTCAGTTCTCAATAATCATCGAATTCATGAAAATTTAGCAAATTGATTCCTCTTACTATTTTTATTTTTACTTTGTTATTCTTATTGTTATTGTTATTTTTCGATGATTTCCTCATATTTCTTCGTGTTGTAATTCGTCGCTTATTTTCGCGTATTTTGCGTATTCTCTTTAATTATAATTTATTATTTTGCAATTTCGATATACTTTTTTTTTATTTTAAAAAATTATTCTAAATGGGGCGCATTATTTTGGTACCATTCAATTTTAGTAGAATTTGGATGCCTTTCGTTCTGTTACTTTGCCTAAAATTAATGATTAATTTATTCCTGATTTTTATCAGTTACTCTGAAATTTATTTAGCATTTATATTTAGCATTTATTTTAATATTTAATAAAATTTCTTAATATTTAGCGATCAAAAAAAAAATTTTAGAGACATCGAATCAGCCAGCCAAAGTATTTTCGCATATCAAAATATATATATTAAATATTAAATATCATATATTAATAATAAAAATTTAGTTAATGGCAACAGCAGCTGCCTCGGTGCAGCCGCCATCGTCAAATCGAATATCTGGAGCAACGGCAACGGCAACGATAACGACCCCTCATGGTAATGATAATGCATCATCGTCGCTTTGTATTGGAACACCGGCAACATCGTCGTCATCGTCGTCATCGTCGAACATAACGCATCAACCAGTAGTTGGCTTAGTGGCACCTCCTCGTGAAATTTGTATCGAATTATGCGTTGTATGTGGCGATAAAGCATCGGGAAGGCATTATGGTGCAGTTAGTTGTGAAGGATGTAAAGGATTCTTCAAAAGGAGCATTAGGAAGCAGGCAAGAATAATCGCTTATCGAACAATAACAAATCGTCGCGGCTATTTGCATGTTGACAGTGTTCGTTTTAAACTAAGTATTTTGAGGTACTAGTACTATTAGTCCTGAAAATATTAGCGAAATTACCCTTGCCGAACCGAACATGAATATAGAATTTTGCTTTATTCTTTGAGATAATTCCAGTTATTTGCTGCCAGAAAGTTAAGTTAACAGTTTCTGCTTAGTTTTCTCGAAATTTGTTTTTTACCTATTAGTTTTGATTCTCATAAATATGTGCTTAATTTCTTTACATTCATTTTTTATCTTTTTTTTAAAAACTCATTTTTATAATTGTTACTAGCAAATTTGCCAGTCATTTCTTTCAATATCATTCAACCTATTTTCCTATTTTTTTCACTTTAAATATTTTAACATAATTGGGAATCACCAAATTTTCTTTGGAAATAAAAAATTTGCATGGAAGAAAAGACAATATTTGCAATTTTATTATTTCATATTTATAAGCAATGCCTTTTAAATTTAATTTTTATTTATTTTAATTTTATATGAATTAAACATTGTTTAACATGTATTCTAGATTGGATATGTGTGTCGTGGTACCAAAGATTGTCCAGTAACCAAGTTTCACAGGAATCGTTGTCAATATTGTCGCTTACGAAAATGTCTCACCATGGGGATGCGAAGTGAATGTAAGATTCATTTCATTTTTTAAATTTTTCTTTCATGTTTTAATTTTGTTTTTCGTTAAATCTTAACCATATATCTTTAATCGACTTTAGCTGTGCAAGCTGAAAGGCGACCTGTTGGCGCATCTACTAATGAACCTCCAACTATGGTTCCCACCTCATTGTCTGCACCACTTCGAAATAGTAGAGAGAGTGATCAGGTGGATTTTTCTAACTTTTCAAAGATTTCACAAACTTTAATGAATTTAATGAATTTATTAAATTTATGAAATTAATAAATATCGAAGTTAAATGCGAGAAAAGCATTTGAAAATTTAAAAATTTTAATCATTAAATTTTATCATTTTCCCGCTTTACTTTTTTAAATTAATACAAAATATAATAGTGTTTTAGTAAATATAATTGGTAGTTAATTTGTTAAAGTAAATCGTTTGGCTCAATTCTTTATTCATCAATGAGTCACTTGTATAATATAGCAAATGCGGAGAAACTGCGTTTCGATCTGATTTTGAAAACTTATCTGAAATGTTTTTTTATTATCGATAAAGATATTAATTTTTTTATATTATATTATATTTTTATATTATAAATTTTATATTATCGATAAAGATATTAATTTTAGCATTTGAAAACCCAGGACTCCTTTATGAATGGTTTATTGGCAATCGTAAGGAAAGAAGTTGCTAATGCGCAAGTAAAATTTTTAGATCTTATTTTTTCTTATGCATTTTATTTATTTATTTAAAAAGATCAAATGGGACAATAAATGTGTCTTGCGATTAATAATATATTAATATTAATATAAAATAAATATAATATAAAATATAATAATATAAAATATTAATATAGCATAATATTAACGGTACAAACCGAATTATTGTATTGTCATCTTATTGACACAAATATCAATGACTTTCCTGGAATGGCAAATGAATATTGGTCCAAACTAAAGGAATGTCCCCGAAAGTCAGTCACTTTCACGGTAGGGCATACTAGCAAGAAATGCGCTAGTTGGGTATCGGAAGAAACTGTCCAACTGTCTGAAAAAGCTGATAAAGCACGAATGTCAGGAGATCCTGATTACCGGATGCTTCAAAGAATTGTAACGACAGCAGCAAGGCAATAACAGAAATCACTATTGGAGCGACATGGCCTTGAGAATGGAGGCGGCTGGATTAGGCGATAATAGAAAGCTGTTCCGTTTTCTTTATAAAGTAACTCAGGGAACGATAAGTGAAATGGTAAGGAGAACAATGGCGTGCCAGTCAAGAACTGGACTGCCTCATAAGATGGAAATTCTTTAAGGCCAAACTTAACCATGAAGCACTATTTGTTACCCCTAATATAACTGATACGTTTGCTAAACCATACGCTTGCAATTGCGACTCTTCAAAGAAGAAGAAATAATTTTCGTTATCCATAAGCTTAAGGCCAATAAGACTCCAGGAGACTCCAGGCGACATCATGTTGAGTTTTTCAAATATTGTCATCGTCCTTCAAATGCATCTTCAACAAATGTATGCTCTTTAGTATGGAAGAAAGAAGTATTACCAGATGATTGGAGCAAAGCAATTCTGCTCCCAATTCTCAAGAAAGATGATTGGACATACTGCGACAATTATCGAGGAATCAGTCTATTAGACGTCAGCGAAAATTTTTGCTTCCCTGTTGCTCAATAGACTTATGGAAGTACGAAACAGCAGGATGCACCCTCATCAAGCTGGATTCAGACCGGGGCGCGATTGCGCTGACCAGATGTTCACGTTAAGAAGGATGTTGAAACATCACTTCAAATATTTGCAACCCACCGTCACGTGTTTCATCGATTTCATTGACTTTGCGATTGCCTTTGATTCAATTGATAGAAAGATGCTTTTGAGGGTGATGGAATGCGACGGTATTCCAGAGAAGATCATTCGACTCATAAAGGCACTTAAGCGCACGTCGGTACAGGTCTGTGTATATGGGGCGCTGACAGAATTCTTCGAAAGAACTGGTGCCTGTCAAGGTTGCATCCTTTCTTCTACAATATTCAATTTTGCGATAATATACATCGCTTGTCGGCACTCAAGGGGTGTCCAAATCAGTTCAGAGCATCGTATCATATATCGCAGATCATGAATACGCTGATGATGTACTTTTTTTGGTGACAGTTATGATGAAATGCAAATAATGCTAAATAACGTGTCAACAGCTGCAGCCTCATAAGATGGAAAGAATAAGATGAACTACAGCGAGAATCGGACTCAATAAAAATGAAAGTCTTTTCGTAATTTGTGCAAGAAGCTAATAAAATGCCTCATTTTATAAATTCAGTGCCTGTTTAGGTGCCCGATTTTAAATACCTTAGGTCTACTCTAATACCAAATGGCCAGGCAAAAAATGATATTACAGTGATATTACGCGGGTCACGGCAGCTAGAAATATGTTCTTCCGATTGATGAAACATTTATGGAGTCTTCGTAAAATCACCATGAAAACGAAAGTCCGAATCTATATAGCCATGATCCGTTCGATCTTGTTATATGGCTCTGAGATATGACCAGTGAGAGTGGAGGATATTAAGAAGTTATCTGCCTTTGACCACTCTTGTCTAAGGTACATTTTACGGGTCCGTCGAGGGGGTAAGATATCACAGTTCGTTCAATACTACTTGCATAAATAATGTTATCACAGAGCGTCGCCTTCGCTGGTTAGGGCACGTTCTCCGTCGTCCATCACAGGAGTTGACGCATATTTTATTTCTTGCTAAACCGTGTGATGGATGGCGTTCAAAGCCAGGTGGTCCAATCAAGACCTGAACTGATACCGTCAGGGAAGATTTTGAATGTGTAGGTGGACCAGCAATATATGGACTTAGACGATGGAAAAACGAATGGCTTTTATTACTGTCGACGATGGCATCAGATCGCGCTGCCTGGAAGCGTCTTACCCTTATAGCCGTTGGAACCAGTCTAACCAGTAATCGTGAGAGCGTGAAGGATATTAATGGGAAGATAAGAAAAAGCAAACTAGTATAATAGGCAGGTAGACTGATTTAATTTTGCCAAGTATTAATTAGGTTTATTTAATTTATTATGAAAATTAGTGGTGTTGCTATTAAAAATTGTCGTCTGAGAATTTGCAACACTAGTAGGCAATTTATTCCAGTAGTTGCTATCTATGAAGAAATATATAAGCACATGGTTTTAGTTTTGGAAATGTGTTTCCGTTATTTTCGTTTCATTATTTCTACTAAAATTTAAATTTAAATTTGAAGAGAGGACATAGAATTTAAAATAGCTTAATAGGTTTAATAGAGTTTTTTCAACAGAACTTGAGGACTTTAAATTTAATCTTGATCACTTAAATCAGATCCTATTTAATCCTTTTGCAATAAAAGTATTTTTATCATCGATTAACTTTGTTTACTTATTAACACTAAAGGGAAAGAAAACTATATCATATCTTAAGTGAATAAATGTGATTCTTTACAGGAAGCGCGAGATGATTTCAAGAAGGAATGTGATTCATTAGATATTAGAAGTGGAAGTCCATTAAGTGGAACTCAACAACCATCAATTAGCCCTGAACCACCATACAATATTAAACCGGTATTATATATTTTTTTATAAATCATATAAATTTTGTTTCAATGGTTCTGAGTACTTTTATGAAAAGTCTTATGTGTCATCATATTTTTACAATATTTTTGGAAAATTCTTTAAAATATTTTAAAAATTTTTGAATTCTTTAAATTATAATGGTTATTTAGGAGCCAATATTGGACGATGAAGTTGGATTAGATAGTGCTGCATTACTTGCAGCGTCATTATCGACATCGCCATTATCGAGCGGTGTAGCATCCTCGATTTCAGAAGAATGTACCCTGTTAAATATCGATGTAAAAATTAATCTTTTCTTAGAATTTTTTTTTTTTAAATCATTTTAATTTCCAATTATATTTCAGCGCGCTAAATTTGAGTTACCTGTACCGCAGTCAGTGCCTCAGGATTTAAATACTCAATTCATATGTGAAACAGCTTCAAGATTATTGTTTCTTTCAATTCATTGGATAAAAAGTATTAGAGCAATAGCATCAAAGTAAGTTTATTAATTGCAAGTCTGTTTTTTATTTTAAAAAAGGAAAGGGCTCTGTGGGTTCATAAGGTTCATAAGCATATATTTTCTGCGCTATTAAACGGAAAAGGGACTAATGGTAGTGGAAACTAGTATCACCTATGGATATTATCACAAATTTCTTTACTGGCAATATTAAAGTAACAAGTTTTAAATCTCGATTAGTTCACTAATCGATGATATTCGTAATCTTAATCTCCATAGTAAGATTGTTAGAATTAGTTAAAAAATCATCTTTTTTTGCCTAAAAATTTATTTTTGCTTTTAATCTATAAATTTTCCTTTGCCTTTACCTGTAGTACTTCCTTCCTAGATTAGTCAATTGAATTAATAGAAAACACTTATAAAAGCAATTTTACACGATTTGAATTCGCACTTATATTTTCTTTTGAATAATATTACCATATTAAAGGTCCGGGCATCTATTTATGAAACATTTCGCATTTCTTTTAGTTTTCTTTTATTTCATTTTTTATTTTATTTGTTTATTTTATTTCATTATATTATTGTTTTTAACACATAGGTATTGCTGTAATATTTACTAAATATTAAATAATTGAGTAAATATACGGAAACAACCTGTGAGAGTAGAAACTATCTTTCAATTTCCCCGATTAAGGTGAGCTTTTTGCTTGCTTTACGAATAGATTTTATTTGTATCTACTCTGTCTGAAGCATTTGTTTTCGTCACAGATTTTTTTTGTTGTTTAAGGTCGACCATCATAGGAATTTACTCTATATCTCGCCACAGTCCTATGCCATATAATGGATAGCGCCAAAAAAGAGAACTGTTGAGATTTCTATCTAGCACTTCCTTCGCCTGATGACTTTCTGATGAAAATTTTTAATCATAGTAATCAGGGTTTAACCATTAATAATGAGTACCAATCACTTATTATTTAAAAAAAGGTCTGGTCTAGATGTGGATTAGAACTGATACGATTAGGAGGGATTCCGGTCGTTTTGAGACGCTTTGGATGTCCAAAGAGTTATGGCCGCAGGCGATGGAGAAAAAATAGATTCAGTCTAATTTTAATTCAGAGATGGCATAAAAAGTTTTAGTAGGAAATGGAGGCAAACAAATCAAGAATGTGGATTGTTGGCAAGCGAAAACAAAGTGATTTAGGTGTAAGAATGAATACTTCTCTTAATCACGAAAATTCCTTATTCAACCTATTATTTATTGGGAATCTGTTGATTTAAAAACAAATCATTTAAAAAAAGGAAATATGAATTTTCAGCCATTCAACCATGGAAACATTAATGAAGACGAAATGGTGTGATTTATTTATTCTGGGCCTAATGCAAGTTTCAAATCTTGTTGATATACCAACATTGTTATCTGCAGTGAATAAACATATAGGAACATCTCTAAATCTCGGTTAGTTCAACTTTTTCCTTGGCAAAATTTTTATAAACTCGAAAATTTCGGTTAATTATGCATATTTGAAATTATTGGATGAAGAGATTCTTCGATATTTCGTAGTGTCTAAAAAGTATGAAATATATAATATTTTTCTTTTGATTATTTAATGAAATTAAAAATTTTTAGGTAAATTAAAATTAGAAAGGTTTCGAGAAATAAGTGAGCAAATTGGTTTGTTATTGAAACTTGTGGAGCGGTTTGATGAATTAAATCTTTCTTCGATGGAATATGCTTATTTAAAGCTAATATCTTTCACTGCAAATGGTATTTTTTACTTATATAAAAAGTATTTTATGGTAGAGAGATGCATTCATTTTTTTTTTCTTAAAGCGCTTATCATTAGTGGTTAGGCTTGCTTTGTTCGTTGGACCAGAGAAATTTTGCCACGGAATTATTTGGCGATAGAAATAGAAATGAAATGAATTCGGATTTTTGAAAGATAGGTTCCATCCTCCTGGCGTAGAACCCCAGCCGAACTGAAGAAAAACTAAACCACTTCACATTTACATATGCATGCATGTGTGCATTTTTTTGAGGAAATTGTTTTTGATTTCAGATTTACCAACTACATCCACTGATGCAAATGTTCGAGCAATACATGCACAAGCACTTCAAGAATTTTACGATCATTTACTTACAACGGGTAATTCTAATTGTGACGAAAGTATAATGGAAAATGATAATTCTTTGGCTAACATTGCTCAATCATCAAATCCACTGAGCATTGTTGAACGTTATAGTCAACTTTTATTATTATTGCCAACTCTTCGATGGTTCAATGAATCAGTAGTGGTTGAATTATTTTTTTCGGGGCTTATTGGTAATTTATCGATAGAGACAGTAATGCCTTTTCTTTTGGCAATGGATGTAATGAATGCCTTTGAAAGTCCTGTCGCTAGTGAAACTTTAGCTGGAACGAATACTATGGTAAATATATTGGAACAGAAATGAACAAATGTGCAACAATTTTATAGTATATATTGATGAAAAAGCATTTTATTATAATATACTTAGAGATTAATTTCTAATTTATGAGATTCATTTAAGAGCTGCTTTATAAATTGGAAATCTATACATTTATTAATTGCAAAAGTAACAAACATTCGTGAAATTACGGATAGAATACTTTTTTGATAAGTTTTAATAATTATTATTCGATTTGACTTTTAATTCGAACTATCATCCATTACTCAAAAAAAAAACATCTTTTTATTAATTATTGGTTCGAAATGATGGTAATAACAGTGGTAGTTAATATAATTTATCGGTGATAATATCAATTCATATTTTCGTGATAATATTAAGCCCGTTGACTTTATTGTGTTTTCAGAATTTTTGCTTACATCATTTTTTTTATTTCATAAAAAATCCTTATAAATGTCGCGCTTTCATTATATTTTTATGAATTATTTACAGATATTATTGTGAACATATCCCGATGATATAATAATTGTTAGTTTTTTTATGTATTTTTCATATATTTATTCAATATTTGTCGTGCAATAAAAAAAAGTTACATATTTTGAGATTAAGTAAACTATTAATTAATTAAAGAATAAATTTATTAGCAATTTTTATTTGAGAATAGATTTAATTTAATTATTAATTAATTAAACAGCTAATAAATAATAATTAAATAAATTATAATTTTTTTTTTGCCGGCAATAATTTTAGAAATTTTTCGGTGCAATGTGGTTCGTATTTCAAATATTTTTTTTTTGTGTTCGTTAATAATTTTTATTGTCGGAATGAATCGTTTTTTTTTCATATTTTTTACAAAATATATTTTATATTTATATTAAAAATTTTTTTATTCGACAATAAATTTTAGGACTTTTTTTATGTGATTAATGGAACGAAATAAAAAATAAAAACGATTCAAAATACGCTCATAAATTTTGCTTTATATGATGTTGCTTTATTATATAAATGAATATCGAAATGGTTATTTTATTATTATTAAAATAATTTTTAAAAAATTATTTTTTTCTGCCGATTTAAAGAATTTTATCAAAAATCTTTCCCACCGAATCGATCCTCTTTTTATATATTTCGTATTTTTCTGATTTCTTATAATTTTGTATCTCGTTTTATGCTAGTTCTTCTTTCTTTTTTCTATATATCTGTATATAATAATATTTATATATTTGTAATGTTTTTTTTGACCCTGTTTGACCTTTGATTGTATTAAAAAAAGAAGCGTTAGTTGATAATATTTGAGATTCGATGGTATATTAAATATATAATAAGTTTTTTTTCAGTTGTCCGGTGTTTAGTATTATTCTCTTTTTTTTTGGAACACTTTTTTTTTGATGAAACTATAAGAATTAGTGTTGTATTGAGTCGATGATTTTCTCGATAAATTCGACAATTTAAATATATATTTCGTTCAAAATCCGGTGTATAATTGATAATTGATGAGGAATTTTTTTCTTTTTCGATTGTAAATTGGTTTTATAATGATCGTTTTTTTCGCGAGGAGGAAAAAAGCGTTCGAATCTTATTAACAAATCAGCGAAAGTGGAACTTTGTTCAATTATTCAACAAAATAAATGAGTTTAGTCTTTAGAAGAGGGAAAAAATCTTTTCGCTGACTGACTCTTAAATTTGCCTATTGTGGATCTAAATTTTTTTTTTTTTTTGGGAGTTAAAGGGAGAGTTATATTATTCGTAATGGATATTGGATTTAGAAATATATCAATTTTCGATGATAATTTTAATCGCTAGTTGTATTTCTATTTGTATGTTTTCATATATTTTAATCATATATAATTAATAGTTAACAAAATAGTGATTTGTTTGATTTCATTTTCAAATTTTTTCAATAAATAATTTATAAAAATTTATTGTTTTTTGTTCATAGAGATATTCAAATATTTAGAAAAAAATTAAAATTAAAATTTTTCCATTTTAGAATTTTAGTCGCTATTTATTTTACTAATCGTACCAAAGCTCCACCGGTTGCAATTTTGAAGTTCGCCTATAGCTCGCGTCCGATGCCATAATAAAAAAATAGCAAAATTGAATGCTACTCTTTTTTTCACCGTCTAGGTTCATATGCCGCTAGGAATCCTATAGTTTCTCCTAGTTGCATCAATACAGGTTTTAATTGGTCGTCGAGATTTAGTAAGATTGCGATTGCCGGCGGCGAACATCGCATCGGCGTAGATGACATTTTTTATAATGCATTAGGTGAGATTATAATTGCAACTGGAATTTTATATAAAATAATATAAAACATACCGATATGAGTGGTCAAAATTAGATATTAGATGGCTTCATATTCTAATATAAATATAATATTTGATGGGCATTTGAAGTATAAAATCTTAAAAAAACTGTAAATTCTCTGTCGCTGAGTGGATAAAATCTCATATGATCGTATCCAACTTCGTTCAAATACTGCCTGCATTAGTGGTACCATTAGAGAACAGCGCGTTCGCTGGTTAAGGCTTAGGATATTTCGTTGGTTCTTCGGAGCCAACAAGATTTGGCATATATTTCCTTTCTTGCTAAACCCTGTGATGATTGTACGGTAGTTGGTGTCAAAAGCGAGGTGATCCAATGAAGTTCTCGACTGATGCAGCAAGGAAAATTTTTGAACTTATAGGAAGATCAGCAATATATGGACAATATATAGACGGTAGAGAAAGGAATGAATTCCTTCCTTCCTTCCTTTTATGACTTCCTTCTATGTCGATGATAACATCAGATTCCGCAGCTTGGAAACGTCTTATCCTTGTAGCCACTGAAGCAACAGCTTGGAAGTTATCCTTATCTCTTATTCTTGTGGTAAGTGGAGCCAGTTAACCAACCAGTAATGATGACAATTGTTAGAAGAAGAAAAATTTCCCTGCACATCGATGGTTGTATTGCTTAATCTCATTCTTGTTTTCACTTAAATGGATGGTACTGACGCAGATATATGATAAAGTGGGTGATATTGTTAAAGAAGGATTTATGGAGAAAAAAATCAGCTAGAAATAAATTTCAGCAAATTATGAATTTGCGAATAAAGCCAATTTTTGGTTTTTTTTTTACTTTAAACGCTGTACTGCTAGTGATCCTAATTTTTATTATTCGATGCTTTTTTTAAATATCAGGTCGATCCACGCAGTAGTTCACGTAAGGTCACCGTGTTATATAATAAAATTATTGGTTGACTAATGGTCCGCTGGGCCATTAAATTAAAAACTAAATTTTACCACTAATTTCCTATTCACATCGCTATTGTCTGTGATCACTACAATGATTTTTCAAAAAATGTTTTCATTTTTTAAATGAATTCAGGATATTCGATGTATTTCGATCATATCGATGAATTTGTCGATTTATTACAAAAATGCTTTTTCATCGATAAAAATAAATTTAGAAAAGAATTCAATGATAAATATTTTAATAATAATAATAATTTTAATAATAATAATAATAGTAATATTATTTCTATTAATGGAAAATTAATAAAAATGCAAATATATTAATTATTATATTAATTAATGAAAATAATTTCGCTGCGAAATTTCTGCATAATTTTTTATATAAAAATGTATTTATTTAAATATATTTAATATATTTTGTATATTTAAAAATATACAAAAAATAAAAACGTCTATAAAATTCAATTAATATTTTAATAATAAAATTTTAAATGAAATTAAATAATCATAAATTAGGAATTAAAAATTAAAAACGAAAACATTTACAATATTTAAAAAAACTTTTCTCAATTCGCAAATTAAGGAGAGAAATTATATTATCGTTTATCGCAAATACACGGTAATAAATCTTTTATACAACATTGGGTTTTCGGCGATAAACGACGAAATTTATAAATTTTCAAACGAAATCAAATCAGAATTCAGTCGAAAATAATTTATTAAAAATTGATCCATTGTCGTATGATTGTTATGATTATAAAAAACAGGATTTAGTGTTGATTAATCGTTGATTATAGCCATAAATTCGTTCTAAATAATATAATTTTCCAATTTTCAAATACGAACGACAACAATTAATATAGTTTTTTCTCAGAAAAGGAAAAATAAAATAATAATTTTAAAGAAAATTTTTCTTAGGAAAAGAAAAATAATTTTCAAAGTTTTCTATTATTCAACCGCTTTTTACTTTCGATTTTTAATAATAATAATTCAATAAATTTCAATTGTTTTTTTCTGAGAAATTGTCCATAAAAATTTTATATTTTTTAAAATTTTGGTTTTTTTGATAATTTTGTTAATTTTTGCTAATAATTTTACCAATTTTGGTTTTAATCATTGCAGAAATAAAAAAATAATAAATATTTATTATGGCAAAAAAAACTTTTACTTTTAATAAAGCATTTAAAGTTGATTCTAAAATTTACAATTAACTTGTTAATCGAAGAAATAATTCTTTTAGTTTCAAAAATATGATTTTTCTGGAAAAATATTTTTTTATTTTATATATTTTTCACATCAATTTTGCCTAAAAAATTAATGATTAGGCAAAATGAGAATCATAATATTTATTTTTTTTATTTTATTTATCTTATTTTTGATAAATATTATTATCATTATTATCGAGTTCAGTCGCCTATTATGAATGCTTCGAGTTGATTTGATGATTACTCAAGTGAATTGTTATGGAAGAAACGATTTTTTTACATCCTACATGGAGGATTAAAGCTATTAATATTAGTATAGTAGTGGTGTTAAACAGCATTAATAATTGATAATAAAATTTTGTTTTATTGCAAACAATCGCAATTTTCATTGGTTATTTAACATTTTCAAATTATTTTGCAATTTTCATTTATGCAATTTTGAATTATGCAACGAGACGAAATATGTCAATTTTAATTCCTTATGCATTTCCTTTTTCCGTTACTATTTTTACCAAATTTATTGATAATTATAATTATCATAATTATCATTTTCAACATTAATTGTCGCTATTAGTTTTCAAAGGTGTTTGTATTTGATAATAAATATTTTCATGTAAAGAATTATTTATTATACGACTCGCATCAAAATTTTTTTATTATGCTTATCAGTTGTTATCAATTTTATTTTGGTGAAATTTTAAATAATTTTGACGATAATACATACATTTACTTTCATTATTTTAAATGATTTCTGTGCATTTTATTTTAAATTGAATTAAATTGCGAATTTAAAGTTTTTATTTTCAAATAAATCTTTTTTATATCAGAAATTATAATTGAACGATAAATTATCATTATTATTATTGTTATTATTATATAAATAAAATTTTTAAGGAAATTTTGCTGTCGATTATTATTTGGCGGAAAAAAAAGTGAATGAAACTATTCTTGTGGAAAATTTTCATATTATTATTAACAATGGTATTATTTTTTTCTTCACTTATTATCCATTTTATTTAAATAAAATAAAATAAAAAAAACAAAAATAAATTTGTTGCTTAATTAATTCTCTTATAATAAATGAAGCACAAAAAAAAAGATATTTTTCTAAATTTTTCATGCAAATAAAATTTAGAAATAAGAATTTATAATGTTTTGACGATTGCATAATCGGCATTGTTGCCATTTTTCGTGAATTTTTTTTAAAAACTTTAAATTTTTCAAGCAAATTTGAAAAATGCGACTTTCAGGTGGCTTATAGTTGCCCTCTTCCACAAGAAAAATTTTGCGAGAATTGTATGCATGTGCTAAAAACTATTTATGGACATTTTAGTCGTCGAATTCCAAGTAAACGTGCATTGCGTCATCAAATAACCCGTCAGTGCAATAGATTACCAAAAGTTAGATATTTATTTTTATGTTATATTTACATTAGATTCCATGAAAAATGCTTAGTTGTTAGAAGTTTTAGGTTATTTCCAAGAAAATAATTAATTGCGTTAGGCCTATGTCGATGATGAATACAAATAAGCTCTGTGGTCGAATATCATTCATCCATTCATGGCTTAGTTGACTGCACTACTTAACATTTTAACATTTCCAAGTAACACAACAAGAAGTCAACTGATAGTTGCATAATAGTAAAGTAATTATTCTCACAAAAAATTGCAAATTTACGAGATCAGCCTTGAGTACCATCCATTATATTCAACTTCACCACATAATTTTATCCATTTTTCCAGTATCATCCATAAGTTTATTTATTTCAGTATAGACGACGGTGTTTGACAATAATAAAACCAAATTATGAAATAGCATTTGTTCATATGACGAAGGATCCGTTCAACGAATTTAATACTTGTGTTGAATTCACCGAATGTTCATGACTGCATTTCAATTTGGGCCGAAGTTGGGATCATAGTTGTAAGATTTTTTGGTCAGAAATAGTGGATTGCAAGGATCAAAAGAAAGAAATAGGGCTTCTCAAATTTTTTAAAAATTATAAATTAAAATGCTTTAAATCATTTTATCCACATGGTGATTTGTTTTTTCTTTAAGAGTTCTCACCATCACTGGTTAGATCTCTGCTCCGCTATTTTATCGCACTAGCCAAATATGCCGGGGAGCCTTGGCGATAGAAGTGAGGCGCCAGTATCACCCAAGATTTTTGGACGAATTCATTCCTGTGGGGGATAGAATTCAGCACATCGGCGCTCTGTATTGTGCAATAACTGGGCCATTCTATGCTCCCTTGGTGAATATTTAAAATTTGATATTGATGAATATTTGATATATTTTTTGGCCTAATAGACTAAAAACTTGTGCATAAACTGTTCTTATGAATTCTTTTTTTTGTATATATTCAGTCCTTTTCGTATAAATATACATTTATCAGATCATTTTATATTTATTTTTGCAAAAAATCGAAATGTGTTGAAATTGTCAAATTAATCAGCGAAGACGGTTGATGCATATTTGGTTCCATTAAGACACTTTACCATTCACATTGTCATTGTAATTGAATATTCTGCTGCTTCAGTCACACGAAAGCAATAGAGTTTTGTGGTTCTTTTGGCAGGAGAAACCCTATCAGTAAACTAAATCCGGGTGGCTTCTGGGGATCGACCTATACTTCCATTCGCAAGTGATTCTATATGAAACGCTAATGTTGATAAAATCAAATAATGGAATGATCAACCATTAAAAGTGAAATCTGAATTAAAAGTGGAGTTCTGGCAATTTTTTATATTCCTATCGCCTAAAAAATCTTTGGGTCAGCAATATATGGACTTAGACGATGGAAAAGAGAATGGCTTCTATAACTATTATCGATGGCATAGATCGTTTAGCTTAAAAACGTCTTACTCTTATAACCAGGAAAAGAAATTACTTGCAATGGAGCCAGCCAAACCAGTTAGAGAATTTTTTAAAAAAACCAACACCATTTCCGGCATTTAGACTCGCTCTGCTGGCTTGTTGCAGTGGTTAATAATCCATTGCCTATAGAAGTACAGGTGAGTCGTCAGCATCACCTGGATTTTTGTGCAAGTTTACTATTATGGAGAGTAGAACCTCAGTAAGAGGTAGGAGCTATTAGAAAAAGAACAAATCTTAGGAGAAAAGATCTTACTCATAGTAATATAAATAAAAATAAAAATATAATAAAAATTGATTCATCTTTATTTTCCATTTTTATAAAAAAGAAATTTTCGCTAAAGATTTTTTATATCAAAGAGCCTGTAAGTGCTAAAAAATTTTAAGGAGTTTTAATTTTAATTAGAGTTTTAATTAGAATTTTAAATTTTATTAGTGTTGTATGCTGAGAAAATTACTTCTTTGGTTTATTCATTTTAAATAATAAAAAATTATAAAAAAATGATAGAAAAATTATTCACATGAAAGAAATTAATTGCTTATTTTGATTATCACTGACATAAAAAATTTGTTTTTTAACAATCATTTTTTTTTTCATCTTTAATCTTTCAATGATTAGCAAATAAATAATAATTTGAAATTGAAATATTCTATTAAAAATTGAAAAAAAAATTTTCGACTTATCGAATTCAATTCAAATGCTACAAATTCTTAAAAATTTTATTTTGTTTTTTTTTCTGACTTGAAATATTATTCTATTCTACAAAAATATTCTATAAAAATATGATAATTAAAATAATAAAAAAGCAATAGCTAAAAATTTTTCGTTTTGGTAATCGAAAAAAATAAGTATTAGCACCAAATAAGCAAAAATTAGTTGGGTGCAAAAATCGGCGAATTGTTCCAACATGCCATTTCGCCTTGGAACCTTTTTTTTAATAGAATGAATTCAATTAAATTAATTAAATTAAAAATTTCGAAATTCAATCAATTGATGGGCTGATTATCATATAATAATAAAATAGTTTAAATTAATAATAATAAAGTAGTAAAATAAATAAAGAAAGAAAGTCATAACGTGATATTTTTCTCCTCTTGTATTCGACTTTTCGCAGTGATTTCGACTATTTAAGCAGAAAATAAAGGAATTATAGGAGAAAAGTAGCAAATAGAAAAGAATAAAAAAAAGAATAAAATAATTGAAATGAATATGGCCATGGGTAATTTTTTTCACGTTCAAATGCTAACTAGCACGATTATTCGTTCTAAAAATAGAAAGCAATAAGAAATTATTTAAAAATATATAAAAAATAATTACTTTGAATTAAAGTTATCAAAGCCGAATGTAACACTCAGCTTAATTACAATAAAAGTAGTTGATAATTTTTAAGTTTTTCAAATTCTCTCAAAATTAAAAATCTTTTAAGAATTAATTAAATATTATTTTTATTGTTTTCATTTTTTTTCTCAATATTCAATTTTAAAATCTCTCTTTTTTCAATAGTTCAATATTATTTTAAATTAAATTAATATTGTAAATTAATTTAATTAATTTCAATGATGTTTTTTCAGTTTTAATCGATAAACTTTTTGCCTACTTTGCTAATTAATTTTTTATAATAATTTTATTTTTTTTCAATTAAAACAATAGTTGTTTATAATAAAATTTTCGTTATACCGATTCCTAAATAATAGAATGTCGAAAAGTGAATTCAGCGCGCCTCTCGTGTGACTTATTAGAGCGTCGCTATTTTGTCGCTTGGATAATTTTACCGAATTATCAAATTTTAGCCACTGCATTTGCAATTTGAATAAGTCTAGCACACCATCGGAATTGAATTTTTCCAAAACATTTTATTGTTTTATTACAGATGATAAAATTGATAATTTAACAATCGTTTAAAATGAAAGAAAATATTGGATAATATCAGCTTTGGAAGGTAGCCATTTATGCCCTATGAAATATGTATAACTGCTTTCTTGTTTGCCTCTCAAGGATAGTGGTAATCATTGTTGAAACAGAATAATTTAATATGGTTTAAAATGTTAAAATGCTTTAACAAAATGTTAGATGAAGACAATCAAATTTTTTATTTTTTTTCTTATACGCATGCAAATCATCATTGGCAAATCTGGTTCAGCCAGATAAACCATCCGGCCTGATTTAAACATAGCAGAAGTCACACCTTTTTCCACCGTCTTAGCCCATTCATTGCGTTTAAAACTGGCCCTTAAGTTTCAGCCCTCTTCCCTATTCAGCGCCCTCAATTTTAACACCATCCTGAAATATATTTCGATTTTTGTATTGGACGTTGAAGAATGCGACTTGTGCTGATAGTTATGAGATTAAGGATGAACAGCCATCTGGAATTTTGCTTCCACATTTATCATCATTATTAATAACATTTATCCGAAATCGCATAATTTTTTTCTATTTAATCGTTTTGATTCATTTTTATTATTTTCATATTATTTCTCCCGCTTTTAAAGCAGTTTTATTCAACAAAATTTCAATAGTTATATTTTTTTTTACATCACTTTCTCATCTGATAGGATCAACTTTATCGTTTGTTGGAATTATTAAAATGATGGAAATGGAATCGCTTTGTTGTTCTTTAACTGTTCAATTGATTTTAGGCTGATGTATTATTATTCGAAGAATAAATTTCTTCACGCCATCAAATTTACTAAAGAAATCTTCAAGAATACTAAATTTTATTTTCGACCGTTTAAAAACAGAAACCAAAAATCGAATTAATATATATATATATATATATATACATATAGAAATTTACATGGTTATATCAAATTAGATTGTTCAAAATATTGTAATTTTGCGCCAAATTTAAACCCAACAAAATCTAATCGAATAAAATTACTAAAATCTAAATACAAAACTATACTAATGGTACATAACTTTTTTTAGTCGCAGCATTAATTACTGGAATAAGCTGTCGAATAACCGAATTTGTGCATCATCCTTAGCTATTTTTGAGAAAAAGAGTTCATCCATAATGTTGTTTAAACGTTCACATTATGAAGACAGTTTGCAATCTTTATCGGTTATCCTCCGATTATGTAATACATTTGACTTGGATTATTCTGTAATTCCTTTTTATACTGATAGCTTTTGGTCATTTAATATCATATAATGATTGGTCTTATTTTGTTGTCATTTATACAAGCATATGGCGCTTATCGTTTTGCTTGGTTGTTTCAAATAAATTAGAGAGAATGAGTTGTAAAGAATTGGGCAATTGGGCAATCCAAATGCGATTATATGATGAAGAGCAAATTTGGATGAAAATTTTTTTTACTTTTACTTTCATTTTTTACTTTTTATTTTTTTTTACTTTTTATTTTGGAAGAAAATGAAGAAAGACAGAAGTAGTAAAGATAGAAGTAGAAACATTTACAAATCGGGCATTAAAACAATTTTAACAAAAAAAAAAAAATTGGCAAAATTATAATTGGCAAAATAATAATGAAGTAGCTATTATAATTGAGTTTAGGATATGTTTGTGCTGAAAAAGGATAATATCAAAGTAATCGCGAATAGGTAGAGGAATTTTTGAACTACAGGAATTCTACAGTGATTTTCAAAGGAATATAAGGAACTGCAATTGATCCCATGGTTATTGTTGCTTAGAAAGAAAGAAAGAAATATTATTTCACCTTAAGTGTGTCCTAATTTGAATTTTCATTAGTTTTTAACATTTTAAGATAAAGCATTATATCACCGAATATATTTGGATCCATTAAATCACTACGCCTTCAACTTACATGAATGTTAATTGAACAATGCGAGGTTTTGAACGAATAGCAGCGTTTATATTCCTTGCCAAGCGTGTTTGTGTCAGAAAACTAAATTTGGATGGTGGTTTCTAGAGACATCTGTGTTTCTATCCGCAAGTGATTCTATAGTGAAACGCTCTAATAACACTAATGTAATCAAATAGTGGCATGAATAACTTGCCAAGAAATAAATTTTGGCAACTTTTTATATTCCTACTTCTTAATAAATCTCTGGTACTCGCTTATACTAAGATTACAATAAAAATTGATTCATTTCGATTTTAATTTTAATTCCAGCAGTTAAACTTCATTTTGAAACGAATATCTTGGTATAATATTCAAATTCGAAATGTTTCAAACTGTTTATCAGTAATCACTATTTTATCAGCTTATCAGTCTAATATGAAAGGTAAATCCAAGCTGTTTAATGTGGCAATAATGATTGTAATTTCTAGCGAAATTTTTCCACTCTGAATGAAGGATTCACTTTGATAAAAAATGATTATAAAATTAAAAAATTGTATTTGATATTTGATTATTTGATTATTTAATTATTTGTAATTTGATTATTCAATTATTTTATAAATATTTGTTGTTTAGAAAATTTCGAACTTTTTGATTTGATTTTTTCATCTCTTTGATTTTTTATTATTTATTTATTAATTTTTTTAGACTAATAGATTTCAGCTTTATTGATGTTGTTGATTAAGCATTTTAATTAAATTTTGCTTTTTTTTCGCAGAAAATTTCAACAACATTGAATAAATTTCAATAAATTTTCGCTTATTGACCGAACATAGTATTTTAGCTGCACACTCAATCCAATCGAATTTTTCCATTTCATTTATATTTGCTTTTTATTTGGTTTTTTTCGTATTTTTTAATTTTTAAGGCATTTTTTAATCAAAAAAGTTAGAAAAGAAATATTTCAC